ACTTATGGACGATGGTGACATCAAATTCCTGCAGCCGCAAACTCCACCATGCTAGCCGACCTCAAGGGTCACGCAGGCTTGCCAACCAACAGAGCGCGTGATGGTCCGTCACTACCTTGAAGGGACGACCATAAAGGTACGGGCGAAACTTGGTGATTGCCCACACGACTGCGAGGCACTCTTTCTCCGTAGTGGAATAATTCGCCTCGGCACGGGATAGAGAGCGGCTGGCGTAGGCTATCACCCTTTCGATGTCGTCTTGACGCTGAACGAGCACTGCACCAAGCCCAACGTTACTAGCGTCAGTATGAACCTCCGTGTCAGCATCATCGTCGAAATGAGCGAGAACGGGTGCTGATTGCATGCGCAGTCGCAGTTCATCAAAAGCTGCTTGTTGCTCATTTTCCCAGACAAACGGCGTGTCGTCCCTTGTGAGACGAGTCAGAGGTTCTGCTATCTGTGCAAAGCCATGAATGAACCGGCGATAGTAGGCGCACAAACCAAGGAAGCGCCGGACGGCTTTCTTATCAACAGGAGCTGGTAATTCGGCAACAGCGGCAAGCTTGTCTGGATCGGGCTGGACTCCTTCAGCGCTAACTACATGTCCAAGAAATTTCAGTTCTTCATAGCCGAAGTGGCACTTCTGTGGCTTTAGAGTGAGGTCCGCTGATCGGATAGCCTCCAGCACGCTGCGCAGGCGCTGTAGGTGCTGCTCAAACGTGGCAGAGAAGACCACCACATCATCAAGGTAGACAAGACAAGTCTGCCACTTGAGCCCTGTGAGGACAGTGTCCATCATTCGCTGGAAAGTTGCCGGCGCTGAACACAACCCGAAAGGGAGTACTCGAAATTGGTATAGGCCGTCTGGAGTCACGAAGGCTGTCCTTTCGCGGTCTCGCTGATTTACCTCGATTTGCCAGTACCCGCTTTTGAGATCGAGAGAAGTGAAATAATGGGCACGGCGAAGTCTATCCAGCGAATCGTCGATACGCGGTAGCGGGTACACATCCTTTTTGGTCACGTTGTTAAGCTTTCGGTAATCGACGCAGAAGCGTAGCGACCCGTCCTTCTTTTTGACAAGCACGACTGGAGATGACCACGGGCTGTTGGATGGTTCGATAACGCCATCGTCAAGCATCTCGCGAACTTGCGTACGTATCGCTTCACGTTCTTTAGCCGACACGCGGTAGGGGTGCTGGTGTATTGGGCGTGCGTCCTCGTACGTGATGATCCTGTGTTGAGTGATGGACGTCTGGCGGATCTTTGAGCAACTCGCGAAGCAAGACCTGTACTCGAACAAGAGCGCTTGCAGCGTAGTCTGGTTATCGGTGGACAGATCAGGATTGATGTCAATGTTGCTCATTGATGTATGTGTCTGCGTTATCCACTACTTCTGACGTGAGACAGTTGGTTACGTTTGCTACTTCGTGGGAAAACGCTATCGAAGTGCCACGGAAAAGGTGTCGATGCTCGTTGCTAAAGTTGGTAACGAGCAATTCAGATCGGCCGTCGCGAACGTGTATTACACTTCTCGCTACACATATGCCTTGCTGCAGTAGGTGTTCTAAATTTGTCTCGGCCACCACATCGCCATCGCTCAAACCACAGCACGTTACGTCGACTAGAACACTGGCTCGGGGAGGAAGCGTCACGCTCTGTTCAGAAGTACGTAGTACGTCGACACGCATTCCGTCATCGTGCACGTTGATTGCTCGCTGGGCTGAGAACGTGACGCGGCGCTCTTGCAGATCAATGATAGCTCCATTTTCTTGTAGAAAATCAATTCCCAGAATGACGTCACGGGAGCATTCACGTAGAACAAGGCAGCTTGCTACGAATGTGTACCCTTGAGTCTGTACTCTAGTTGTGCAGGCGCCCAGTGGAGTTACGACATGGCCACCAGCTGTACGAATCTGCGAGTTATGCCACGGCGTGGTTACTTTCTTCAGCTGCGTTGTCAGTTTCCCGCTCAGTATGGAATAGTCTGCGCCGGTGTCCACTAACGCATTAACTACACAACCATCAATCGTTACGGCTATTTCGAGTGAAAGCCGGCTATCCTTTGCAGCAGCAGGTGATGTCGGACCAGTTTCTGTACGGTTCTGCGTCAATAGGAGGTTTTCAGCGCTTCGACGTTCAGCGACCCCGCCCCCAGAGGTCGCTTCGGCTAGTTTTCCCGGCGGGGGCTGGGAGATCGTGCGGTAGAATACCGCTGGGGCATTGATGAAAATCGCCTCGGTGATGGCGAGCACGACTGGCGCCCGGCAGACGGTGGTGCATGCTGCTGGGAGATGTAGTTTTGGATGTCGCGCGGTCTCTGGCCGTAACGGGGGGGGCGGCGAGTACGCAGAGAAGCCGCGAAGCCCAAGACGGCGATAAGGACACTGGCGGTACAAGTAATCAGCTTCTCCGCAGTGAAAGCACAGAGGCCGGCGATCGGGTGTGCGCCAAACATCAGACTTTCGTAGAGACGTGCGCCGATCGTCGATGTACTGAACTGGTTGCCCTGAACGATGGGCGACAGAAGCACCAGGGACAAAGGCCAACGGTGGTGGCGTGTACGTGCCTTCGTAGTACGGTATGTGCTGCGCTGACTGTAGTGAAACAGCAGGAACAGGATGGACGAATAATGGCGGCGTTGCAGCAGGGCGTTTCAAGGCTTCCGCGTAGGTTGTCTCACGGCGGTATTCAGCAGGAGCTGGCACAGCTGTATCATGAGGCAAGTTGTCCCGGAGGGCCTGGTGCAGCTCATCCTTGATCACAGTTGCAATAGAGTTGACTGTAGGATGAGGTGTTACACCAGCCTTTCGTAACTCTTCACGTACTATATCACGGATGAGTTCACGTAGACAGTCGTTGTTGGTTCTAGTGGCGGTGAAAATGTCGGCAGTAGACATGCCACTGACTTGCCTGTCGTATTGGTTGGATCGCTGCTGCAGCATTTTTTCATTGTCACGGCCTCGGACAAGAACTCCGCGACCGTCTTCGGAGGACTTCGCACGAGGCCGGCAAAAAGCTGGTCCTTGACACCGCGCATCAAGTGACGCAACTTCTTGTCCTCCGTCATTTTTGAATCGGCCCGTCGGAAGAGGCGCGTCATGTCTTCGACGAACGTGGTCACAGTTTCATTTGGCAGCTGGACGCGGGCCAGAATAGCTCGTTCAGCTCGTTCTTGGCGATCAGCACTGGCATACGTCTGCAGAAGTCTACGAGAGAATTCGGGCCACGTCGTCAGCTGTTCCTCTCGGTTTTCATACCACGTACGTGCCCCGTCTTCGAGATAGAAGTAGACACGACCCAGTTTCGCCGCGTCGTCCCACTGATTCAAGGTGGCTACGCGCTCGAAATCCGCCAACCAGTCCTCAACGTCCTCGTGCTCCGAGCCATGGAACGTCGCCGGTGCACGTGGGCTTTCCAACGTGTAGCGGTTCGACGTTGTGCTTCCCGTGCCGGTTGCCGAGGTTTGCACCGAAGCGCTGGTCATGTTTGTCGACGTGGTGGTAGCAGTATTGTCGGCTTCCGGAGGCAATCCCCTGATTCGGCGGCTGGTCCGATGCACGGGAGTATTGACTGGCACTGGACTCGTATCGCGGCTTCCTGGGGGGGGGGGGGGTCTGCAGCATCTGTGAGACTACCCAGCACTTCCGTCAGTTTGTCACGATGAGTCACAAATACTGGGGGATTTATTAAACCACCAGGTAGCTAGCACTAGAACGATGCGTCAGTCGTGGCTGGCTCTCGAGCAAAGAAGAACGCGATCTTCTTTTTTCCTCTAGATTTAGAGCCGCTCTTGCTGTCAACCCACTACGTGCTGGTGGCAATAGATAGATAGATAGATAGATAGATAGATGGATAGATAGATAGATAGATAGATAGATAGAAGATAGATAGATAGATAGATAGATAGATAGATAGATAGATAGATAGATAGATAGATAGACAGATAGATAGATTGATAGATTGATATATTGATAGATAGATAGATAGATAGATAGATAGATAGATAGATAGATAGATAGATAGATAGATAGATAGATAGATAGATAGATAGATAGATAGATAGATAGATAGATAGATAGATAGATAGATAGATAGATAGATAGATAGATAGATAGATAGATAGATAGATAGATAGATAGATACGCTCAAATTCGCCGAAGTTCGCTAAGAAATGCTTTGCATTTAAAACAGAAAGATTTCAGCATCGAACTCGGCATTTTCGGTGTCTGTTCTCCTTCTTGTATTCACTGAAATGTATTTAAGCACTGAATGAAGCCCCGCCGTGGTGGTCTAGTGGCTAAGGTACTCGGCTGCTGACCCGCAGATCACGGGTTCGAATGCCGGCTGCAGTGGCTGCATTTCCGATAGAGGCGGGAATGTTGTAGGCCCGTGTGCTCAGATTTGGGTGGACGTTAAAGAACCCCAGGTGGTCGAAATCTCCAGAGCCCTCCACTACGGCATCTCTCATAATCATGTGGTGGTTTTGGGACGTTAAACACCACATATCAATCAAGCGCGGAATGAAATGGAAGATCTCATTAGTGCGTTGCCACAGTTATGTACTAACACCCACTGAAAATCGAATCAACTACCGAAACCATTGCTAGAGACATACCTCGACAACAAATGAAAAATGTTCTGATTGTGACTGTCGCAAAAGAAATCTTACAGCTCAGTGCCACTAAACCATACGCGTTCGCCTAGGCTGTTATTAACCGAACCAGCCATGGTGCTTTAGTGGCCAATGCATTCGGCTGCTGACGTCGCGGAATAAAATTCCGGCCTTGGTGGCCGCATTTTAGATGGGGGCGAGAACGATTGAGGCATGTGTGCTTAGATTCAGGAGCATGTTCAAGAACCCCAGGAGGTCGTAATTTACGGAGCCCTCCACTACGTCGTCTCTCATAATCATATCGTGGTTTTTGGGGTGTTAAAACCCAAAAAATATATTATTATTGTTTGCTGAAGTTACATGACACCATTGCCCTTGCCTTGCGCAGATCAACGGTGCCATCAAGAAGCTGGTGGAGCAGCATTTCATCACATGCGCGGCCAACACGACGACATCTTTCGTGTACCTGCTGGAGAGCAAGGTGCAGGAGCCCCCTGAGTGCCCCCAGTGTGGACAGGCCGGTTCCCTCATGCGATTCCACTCAGCAGCGGTGCACAAAACCATCTACGCCACCCTCACTTACGACAGGTATGCGGGACACACACGTCTTCAACAGCGTACCATTACTACGGTGAAAGCCACGAAGGAAAGTAAGAGAGGAGGGTGCATTACTTAACACCCATTCTTCGCAAGCCAACCTATTTTGAAGCCGGCCGTATCAGCCCAACACGTGAACTCCTGCATCGAAATCACGCAAGAAATGAGATTTGGCGAGACTCCATGCTGGAGAATCTGAGAGTCTTCAATCTAAGCGCGTTTGTTCGGCGCAGTTCTCAAACAGTGCGGCCGCCTCCTAGAGGAGGTTAAAAAAAATCACAGCATATCCACGAGGTCAATGATGACGAGTGGGGCGCAACAGACGGACGGATGGACGGAATCACAGACGGACTGATGGACGCTTCGCCCCACTCATCAATGTCATCATCATTCATGGATATGCTGTGACACCGTTTTTATTGACGTGTAATGCGATGCAATTGGCTACTACGATTACGACGACTACGACGACTACGACGGCACGGGACATAGACCCACGGCGTAAGGGGCTTCGCGCCTAAAATAGGACGCCACAGAGAGCACTAAACCTACAGCACGCTCTGATGTTTTTATCTCGTGTTGGGTTGGTGAAAAACTATATTCAAACCAGCGTATTAAGGCGTGGGCCTACGATTGACCCTCCTTCACACGAATTTATTGCCCAATTTCTTCCCGTGTCGCTCAATTTTGACTTTGTTGGCTTCGAAGTTTGCGCTATGTTAGAGTTCTGCTGATTTCGAGGGGTATAACTACTACTTTGGCGTTCCCTGTCTACAGACGAGTTGTGCGTAAATGTTTTGTGATCTAATCGGCTACTTCTATGTGACTGTTACGTTGAGCATATATGTCGCGGGCGGTTTCAGTGCATAAAAATTAAACACGAAAACTTTCTTACTACTAAAGAATGCATAGGTGCTGCCTTTAAGTCTAAATGCATCCTTATTTGTTGGCGTTTTTGGGAGGTAAAAAAAAACCTGGTAAATAGATGTAGATCTAAACAGTCGGCAGGGGGAGACGCTCTAGGTGCCGACCAGTGCAGACGCGCGAAGATCGGCTCCTGCTTTCAAGAATGCTTTCCTGTGGTATTCACGAATTTGTCACCGAGTTTTCAGTCCCATCGTGTGCCTAAGTTCTCAAGAACTCATCAGATACCATCTTTGTGCTGGTGAGTGGACTTTTCAACCGTTTTGGGGGCATTTTTACACGGCAACGCCACCGGGGGATTTAAGCCTAACAACCAAGGAGGCGATTGTCGCCGATGCGCCGACCCGGCGCCAACGTGACGCAACGCTCTGCGCGTTCCAGAATCTGCAACTGGGAATGGAATACCAAGTAGATGGAGAGGACATCTCTCCAGAGGATTGCACGGAAGACCTGGGTTGGAAGGAAGCCGAAACGAGATGCTCAAGAAATAAGCAAGCCACGGTTAGCGTTCCTGCTGCCAAGGGTTCAACCAAGGCTGGCGTTGCGGGAGATGCTCGAACCAGTCGTAGTAGGTATGATACCAAGCATACAATTGTGCGAGCTGGACGCATGCCGCCACTACCCAAGGACTTCAGCAAAATTGTGCTACGACCACGTGGAGGATTATATATCTCGAGAATTGGCACTGGAGCCGTGGCAGACGCGATGGTACTGGCGGCCGGCACCAAAGAGGAGGAGGCCATGCAGGACATGATCTGTTCCAACTTGCAGCAGAACATTATGGTGGCGAGCACTCCGGACCAAGAGAGAGCTTCAAGATAGCTCAAGGTCAAGCAAATTGACATTGGAGGCTAAGTTTTGGAGGTTAGCGCGTACGCCACGGCACCCCACGATACTTGTAAAGGAGTGATTCGCGGGATCCCCGTAAGCGATACTCAGTACAGTTTGACCCGAAAGATTGTGAACGCAAACAACCCGCTCGCGCTGCAGGCCAAGAGAATCAAGGACACCGGGACAATCATCATAGCATTCGAAGGACACAAGGTGCCCAGATTCGTGAGATATGGACCTTCACTTTTGCAGTGCTCCCTTTACCGCAAGAACATCGATATTTGTTACGTCTGTGGAAAGCTGGGACATCGGTCTGACGTCTGTCCGAACCCAGCTGAAACCATCCGCAGAGGCTGCGAGATCAAGAACCCAGATAGCCTGCACCAGTGCAATCCAAGATGCAGGCTGTGTGACGGTCACCATCCCACGGCAGACAAAGAGTGCAAGAACAGGTTCTTAGTGCCATACTTCGTCAGACGCAGACGTTGGGAAAGATCGCGAGCAGCCGCAGAAGCCCAGGACGCATCAATCACATCGAGTTCAGACATCAACGACAAGCAGCTTATTCCAGCCTACGGGACCCAGAGCATCCAGACTACTCAAGAACAGCAAAGGCGGCCCCACTCCAGGGGGAGGTCGCGTTCCAGAAGAGATTCTAGACCCAAGGCCCGCTCCCAATCACGGGGGCGCTCGAGTTCTCAAGGTCACCATCAGGGTCGGGATCAGCCTGGGCGGCACCCGAATGGCCAGCTGCCTGGCGTTCAGTTCGAGATCACGGCTTCACATCCGGGGAGGATGCCTGCAGTTGCATCGAAAGGCAGCTGGGCTGAGCGAGTGCGCAAGGGTGCGGCAGAGGTGATGACAGGTAAGCTGCCAGAGCATGATAGAATCGCACAGCTAGAGCAAGAAAACGCGAGACTTACAAAATCGAATGAGAGGCTATCAGCTGAGTTAAAGGAAATTAAAATTCTTCTCATTAAGCTAACCAGCGCGCAGTCTTCACAGCCAATGCCTCAGCCAGTCGATGTCCCTGTGGCTGAAAACGTGGGGGACTCGAAAACCACAAAAAAGGGCAGTCATGGCAGAACACGTGGAAGCCAACCAAACGAGCATGTCAGATATGAAGGAGGTCCTTGACACGCTCAGCAAAGTAGTAGCTAATCTTAGCGAGCAGATGGGTAGGCTACAGTCAAGCATGGCGGCACTGGAAGAGCATATGCCTTTGCGCATCACAAAGGTCGAAGCATATCTGCACAACACAGCAAGGCCTCCTCATGCACCAAGCTCACCCCTTCGGCCACCAATAGTAATGGTACCAAACCTGTCGACAGGTGCAGCATCAGGCTCTGGCCGCCCATGTAATAACCATGATGGCAGCGCTACGTGAAGCATTTCGTATCTGGCAATGGAACTGTAGAGGTTACCTTAAAAAGAAGGCAGCCCTACAGCAGTATATCAGGAGCAGCCAAGAAAAGCCTCATATTATATTATTACAAGAAACCCTTTCACCGCAAGCAACGTTGCCTGGATTACGGCCTGTAATAGGGGATACTGAAGGGAGGGGAGTCTGCACCTTCGTATGCAACAAACTAACGCACGTAACCCACGACCTCAAGATAGAAGCAGGCCGGCTGGGACACGTCATAGTAGAGATCGTGCCAGGTACCAGCAACCGTCAGAGCATTTTCATTCTTAATATATACAGCAGTCCAAAGAAACAAAAGCAAGGGTTCAAGACGGTTCTAAAGAAAGCTGTTAATATCGCCGGGGAATGTCCACTCATCATAGCAGGTGATTTCAACGCCCCTCATCATACATGGGGTTACAAGTACAACACTGGGAAAGGAAATCGACTTTGGCAAAGTGCCAGTGAACTTTATCTCACCCTAATCACAGACCCCAGCCTACCAACAAGGCTTGGTACATATTGCTGCAGGGATTCCACCCCGTACTTTACATTTGTAAGGAACATCAAGAAGGCCCAGTGGATGAACCTTGCTGTAGACCTAGGGAATGACCACTGCATTCTTGCCACTACCTTCTCCGTGGAGCGTAAAAAGCAGAGAGAATTTAACTTCACAGACTGGGATAAGTTCAGGAAGATAAGGATGAAAAGGGAACAAGATGGCCACAGACAAGGCTTGGAGCAGTGGGTCAAACAGATTAAAGATGACATCAAATCCGTCTCCTCCACCATTACCACAGATTTTCCGGTTGAAAGAATGGATAGCCGGCTCGCTCATCTTCATGAGGCAAGGCAAGCACTACTGAACCGTTGGAAGGGTCAGCGCCTGAACCGAAGACTGAGGAAGAAGATAGCTGAGGTAAACAGATCAGTCGAGGAATATTGTCGCGCACTTTCCAGGCAGCAATGGGACGAAATCTGCAACTCTGTCGATGGTCAGATGCGCAATGGCAAGACATGGAATATGTTAAAGCATCTCCTCGACGAAAACACCACTAAAACAAATCAAAAGCATGTTATCGCTCGAATTTCGCACAAAGAGATAGGGCGCACTACAGAACAGCAAGTTGTGCAGCGTCTCGTGCATAAGTACCTCCCAATCAAAAGAGGATGGGCACCACCAAGTAGACAGTACCAGGGCAGGCCCAATCCAGGTCTTGAGGGCAACTTTAACATCGAGGAGATCGGAAGAGCCTTGCATGATCTCAACGGCAGGTCGGCCCCTGGCCCGGATGGTATATCAAACAAGACCCTTCGTAACCTTGATGATGATTCAATTGAAACCCTGAAGGATATGATCAATGCAGCATGGAAAGAAGGCAGGGTGCCAGAGCAGTGGAAGCTGGCCAGGACGATCCTTATTCCTAAGTCAGGAAAGCCCCCTAACTTGGACAACATGAGGCCAATATCCTTGACATCATGTATCGGCAAGGTTGCAGAATATGCCATACTGCACAGGATAAACAAGTACTTGGAAGATAACGACATATATACACACAACATGGTTGGATTCAGGGCAGGGCTATCCACACAAGATGCATTGAAGCTTATCAAACACCAGGTCATTGACAACGAAACGAGAGACGTGAGAGCCATTCTGTGCCTAGATCTAGAAAAAGAGTTTGACAACATCCACCACTCATTCATACTCGAAGCAATTTCCAAGCTTGGTCTGGGGAAAGCCTTCTATGACTGCGTATGGTCCTTTCTTACAGATCGGAAAGCCGTGATGAAGATTGCAGATATCGAGACCGCAGCAATCGAACTAGAA